TCCCTTTTCCTCAATTTTTTTTAAAAAAAAACACTGCATGCCCGTGTAACAATCTATTTGAATGGATTTATAATTTTTTATTTATAAATTAAAATATATAAGATAGAAATTTTAACTTTATAGTTTTAATTTTTTTTATCTATGCATAAGCTCTTTTAATCCAAAATTACTTAAAATAAATCGATTCAAATAGGTTTTAGTTCGTATTATTAATATTTCTTAGAGAACAATTTCTCTTTAATAGTTTGAATTTAGATTGGTTGAGCAAGTAAAAAAAAAAAAGAATTCTACTCCGTTATGTTTGCTTTCCATCCTTTTAAAACAAATGGTTGGATTATGATGAAGTATAAATTGGTTTTAATATGATTTATGTATTGATTTGAAGTGTTTATTATTATTATTATTATTATTATTATTATTATTATTATTAGTTTTTGATTTTTCTAATACCCTACTCTATGGCACAACATAATCTAAATGTTTTCTTTGTATCTGTTGTTACAATTCGTAATTGCTTTTTTTATTCCTATACAATCTTCGGAAAAAGGTAAAAAAAATATTCTTCAATTATGCGAAATTGAATAAATATGTTCCCACTTAACAGTTTGATCTAAAAATGTCTTCATCATTAATAATTTGGTTAAAAATTTCTCATATTATTATTTAACGGGTCAAAAATAATTTTATCGTTATTTTTTAAACATATTTTATTCCTGATAAAAATATTAATTTTAAAAAATCCTATTTTTTTAATATAAAAAAAAACAGTTTAACTAAAAATTAAATAGTAAATAGTTTTTCTTCTTAATCTTATTTTATCAACTAAAATAAAATAACATATACTTTTTTAATCGATAATATAGGTCATATTTATAAGAACATAATAACCCCATAATATATTTCATTTCGGTAACGATAAAAAAACTCCAATAAAATGGAAAATAATTATATTTCTTAGTCTTTTTTTTTGTATTGGAATATGATAGATATTCTCTAATTAAAAAAATATTAGAAAAAGAACGTGTATAAAAAAATATTTATTTTAAAAAGGACATTTTTGACTTATTAAATAATAATACATACATTTTTTAATGAATCAAATTATTGACGATTGTAATAGTTTTATTCAATTTTACATAATTGAAAAGTATTTTTAACCCTTTTCAATATATTATTTCAAACTTCAATTTTAACATTAAAAATAAAAGAGCTCTTGACCCCTATTTTCAAAATTATTTTAAAGATAAAAGGAAATAACTTTGTTCACCTTTTAATTACCTTTCTTCAAAATTATACGCTAGAACCCGAATCTAACATATTTTGCATACCATTGGTAGCATTTGGGCATAGATTTCCAAAAAAAATTGGCAAATATTATTTAGGTGAAATTTTACCATGTGTTTGATCATAATATTTGGGAAATATATTTCACTTTTTTAATAAATATGATTTATACCCATAAGTTTTAAAAACTATCAAAATTAACCATAGGTTTGTATTACATAGCAAGATAGAAACGTCGACGTAACAAGATTAGTGACTTCCGCAACAAGTCAATTGGATCTTCGTTGCAATAATAACAAGTAGTGTCCATGACATTGGAGCAATGTGGTAGTTTGGATTGAGTGCAACAAGCATCATTCCATACATCGTGAAGTAGACGAATCACATGAATTTATTATCCTAAGCCGATTGTTGTTCATTTTCATCAATAACCATATCATCACTTTCATATTCAGTGAATATTTCATCACTGCTTTGGTGTTCACGTAAGAAAATATGTAATATAACACCAACATATACTATAAATGGTGTTTTTGTAAAAGATAAGAGTTTGGTGTAGAATTTAAATTTTTGAAAATTTCCAAATAATGAGATTTGGCCCAAATACTAGTTTTTTCTAGTATTTGGAAATTTGAGTTATTTGTCAAAAATATTTGCCAAATAATAACAAATTATATGGACAAAAAACTATTTGCCAATTTTTCTCCCAAATTTTACTTGGAAAATCTATGGCCAAACGGGTCGTATCATGGCTCGCTAGTAAAGTTGTCATTGTAAAATAATGGGACGTATTTGTCTCTTCACCTGACACCTATTGCTAGGCAGAATCCCCGCTTTTATTGAGGAAAACTTATTGAAGTCTAAATCTATTTTAAATTCTTTGGAATTAGACAAAGACCGGACAAGAATTTAAAATATTCAAAAAGTTGTAGAAAATTAATTAAACTTTACCATGAATATTTTGAAAGTGAGAAGTTTAGAAGTATTTTAGTGAGTACAAATTTAAAAATAAAATAAAAATATAATTCTAAATTTATATCTCCACGAAATCCTTTCATCATTATTAATTATAAATAAAAAGTGGTCTTTTGAGATAAAATTACAATTATGCTCAAGAAGAAAGAGAAAAAATTGATTGTGAAATATTATAGGAGTAAAAATTAATAATATTATAAGAGTGAAGATGACCTTTAATTTATAATAATAAATTCATATTGTGAACAATTAATAGACAATAATGACCAACAATATTTTTTTACAATATTATAAGAGTGAAGGTGACCTTTAATTTATAATAATAAATTCATATTGTGAACAATTAATAGACAATAATGACCAACAATATTTAAATTTCAACATTACTCGTACAAGTTACAACTAATTACATAAGAGTTCAAATTTGAAAGTCTCAATAGTACCTTTAAACTCTATATCATAACATTATTTGTAATTATATATATTTTGATTATTATAAAAAAAATATATTATAGAGAATATATAATATAATATAATATAAAAGATTAATGCTAAAAAAAATATGTTTTGAATAATTGTATCCATCAAGACTCGAATAAATAGAACAAAATATTTTTTAATTTTGTTGAAATTTGAAATTTTAAAGTCCTCAACAATTTTATTGACTTGAGCACAATCTTAAGAGCCAAAATTATAAAAAAAAAGTTTCAAAAAGTTAAATTCAGATTTTAATACTACAATATGTACCAAATCAGTAATTTGACCTTATAAGTTCATTTAGATGGTGAACAAATTATACTAAAATTATCTAAATTATAATATGAAACTCGTTCTTGTCTCCATCGATTAACCTATTTCAGAGCAGTCTGGTGGTTAGCCTATCCCGCACTTTTTTTTTTCTCCTTTCAAACAAAGAAAAATGGCTTTTTTTGGGTTAGTGCGCGCCGACATGCTAAAAATTACCTTTTGAACTTCTTTCATATTAGGAGGCTAGGAAGTGCCGAAGAAGGAGAGAGCATGTAGTAGTGGTGAAGCTGGATGCTCGATTCTTTCATTTTAATTTATGTAACACATTTTTCTTTTTAATCTATTTCAAAAACAAAATATTATCTTTCTATAATAAAAAATAATTTAATTTTATAATTTTTATTTTACCTTTAATGAAATGCATGTTTATCATTAGTATTTTAACCTAAGATAAAAAATCTGAAGAATTGGTATCCACATTAAGTGATGTTAAATTAATATCAAAATTGTTTTTTTTTTTTTTTATTTCCCACCCGATGTTCGGCACCCACATTGGAACCTGATTAAATTTGGATTCGCGCCGGGAAGTCCACATTGGGGTAAAACGCTCCCTAACAAAGGCGACTCCATACCTAAGGGGGTTCGAACGCGAGACCTCTTGATTAAGAATGAAGGAGTACTTACTACTTCACCACAATCCTTGTTAGTAATATCAAAATTGTTGATTTGTGGCACAAATAATTCGAAAGTTAATATAATAAAGTGTTTATTCCAAAATAGTCACTCTCGAACCAAAGGACCCCAAAAATCCTTCAATATTTAATTGATTTTGACCAAAAAGTAAAGGTATTTATGACAAAAAAAGTACCCCAGAAAATCACAAGTTAAAGTTATAAAATACAATTACTACTTAATTTGTTTTAATGAAAAAATATTTATGGAATACATGTCAGATAATAATTGATTTTGACAATAAAGTTATTTGTACGTGTAAAAGACAACTATTTCTAAAACTAAAATCAATCATTTAATATTAAACACGAAAATTTCGTTTTGTAGAGTGCATTAGCAAGAAAAAAGAGAGTAATGCATTCATCAATTGTATATTTTTCAGTAACTAATATATGAAAAATCATTGCATTAGTATTATAGGAGGTTTTCATACATGCATTAATAAAGTTAAAAATATAATTATTCCTAAAAAAATTACACATCCTTTTTATTGTATTGTGTTTTTTTTAGGAGTTATACAATTTATATTATTTTAGTATACTAAACTAAATACTATATAAGAAATAATCTCAATATAACTATATAATAACATCAATATTATTATCATCAAATGAATATGATGCACTAGATGAAACTGTTTCTTTCTTAATCAGATGTCTCAGGTTTGAATCCTGAATGAAAAAGTTTTTGATAGAAATTAAGGAGCGCTTCTCCAAATAAAGTCCCATGCGGTGCGAATTCAAAATGATGGAGGTTTGATTGAAAAACAAAATATAAGTGTGTATACTTTTGTTGTGCCACCTTAAATGGTGGTTACATGTTTTCATCTCAATTATGTCAAAAAGGAAAAATAAGAAATTAAAAAAAGCATAATAGTATCAAATATGAGCCACTCTCAATGTCAAATGATATTGACAGCAAACCATGGAAGGGGTATTTAAGTCGAGTACTGTCGGTTTCTAACCATGGTTAATTTTTAACCATCCACTCTAGTTTATGCGTCGGTACTATACGGAGCACTCGTGAGTTAAAAAAGAAAAAGATCGTCGGTGACCCGGTGAAGTTCTGAATTAACTCGGTGACCGAAAATGACGTCTCTCAAAACACAAATAAAATAAAATAAGAAATGGGACCATGTAATTAATTATATTTTGAAGAAAAAAAAAAAGAGTTATAATAATATACTAATAGATATATACAAAAACTATATTTTTGGTGAGGGAGAAAGATTGGTATATAAGCAAGTGATCCTAATTCCAATGCTTCTTCAAAACAAAGTGAAGAGAAAGAGAAATAGAAAGGTTTAGAGAGAGAAAAAAGAGGGAGTTTTAGAGAGAGAAAGTAAAAGAGAGAGAAGTGCGGCTAATGGGAGATTCGAGCGACTCCGTTTCGGTGGATATGGAAACAATCTCCGTCGCCGGAAAGGTTTATTTTTCGTCACCGACACTCGCATTTTGTAATCATTTTGCTAAGCATACGCTAATTAATATGGTAGCATTTTGTTTAGTTTTTAAATGTTTCCTGATTAATTTTCACCTAACTTTGAGTTAATTAAGCAACATTTTGATTTAGCGTGTGGATAGAGCAAATGTTTTTTCACTTTTTTTTTTAAATAATTTGTTGTTGCAATTTGGAAGTTATGGTGGTTTTACCTTAATGTGGCTTGTACTGCAATTTTGAGACTATGATGCTTCTTTAATTAGTAATTTTTGTTGCTATAAAAGTCTCGTTTTATCTGGCTGATTACAGTTAAGGGTTCCATTTTAGCTGCAGGAAATTGCTTTTTGGGGAATAAATTTGATTACTGGATTGGTTTTGAGTTTTAGGCTTTTTAAAGTTTTCCAGTCAAGTATTTGTGTGTTTTTATTCAAATTATCCAGCATTCAAATGAGCAACATGATTCATTTGAGGTGCACGGAAGACCTGAAGTTCATTTAAAGAAGCAAACCTAGCAAATGGTTCATGTTAACTTGTTCCCATTATAAATGAATTGATGGTGAAATTTTCCTTATTGGATTTCATCATTCTTGACGATGTTCTTCCGAGCAAAAAATAAAAGAGATAGTAAAGCATTTCCCCTAAAATCATGTGAAAAGGGTTGTTCATATAAAGCTAGGTTGTGTGCTTCACTTTGCTTAAATATCCCTTTAGTGTAGGTGTTAAGGCTTGTGCCTTATCTCCCCGGGGCTGTGTCTACTAGAAAACAAATATTGCTGGTAAACTGGTAGTAAATAGCAGAAAAGAAAAAACAATACAGATGAGTTTTTAGTTATCAGGAATAAGAAAGTTAAATTTTGTATAAAACAACTAGGTCCAAAAAAACATAAAACTACATCTTTTCATCTAAATAAGAAGCTCAAAATAATTTTTAACTTTATTGATATAATTTTGACTTCATATATTCTGCTTAATTATAGTTATACAATTCTTTGTTCAAACAGTTGCTTTTGGGCAGTCATTTTTAGTTGAGTTACATATATATTTTTTTTATATACTTTTTCTTTGTTAAAGCCAAAACTCTAATTCCGCTTTGCACTTTAAGCCCCAACAAACTTTGCACTTCTATATGATTTTAACTGTTTTTCATCTTCTAAAGATTTACGCTCAAAACAAGGAATTATTGCATATTCGCTAGCTAGTTTATATTGATCATGCTTTATTTGTCCGAATCTCTTTTTTCCCCTGATATATGCAGTTTGTTATAGTAGTTTTTTTTACTGATACATGCAGTTTGTTATAGTTTATAAGGTTCATGTGTTCTTTTTGTCCTACTTTCTAAGTATGCAAATTTGACCTAGTTTAGAAGGTTTGTGTGTTTGTTTTCCTATCCTTTTGAAATTTGCGTATCACACGCCAGTTTTAACTAGAAAAGTTGCAAAAAGGGAACCTCCTGTTAACCGTATACGTTTTTTTTTCAGTCTCGGTTAGGCCCAAAACATATTTTCATTTAGAAATTGCTTTGAAAGTTGGAAGTGTAAATTGGACCTATCAAAAATAATGAATGCGGAAAGAGTGGAATTGCTTTTAGAACTCGGAAGCTTTGTACCTTATAGTTTTACTTGATGATATCTAGGTATATTTTTTCCTTGTCAAACTTATCATGTTTTTGCTAATTTTTCTCCTCAGGAGCACCTTGTAAAAACTGGCCGTGGTTATGTCTCTGTTGCTGTTTTTGGGGACCAGGACAAGCCGGCTCTTATCACCTATCCCGATTTAGCTTTAAATTGTAAGTGAAACCAGTTTATTTTGTCATCTCTTACAGTTCAATTGCTTAAGTCAGTTTATTTTGTCATCTATTACAATCATGATTATGTTTGTTCTTTCTAATAAGAAGTATGTGCTAAATGAAATCAAATTGATTTGGTCTGTTCCAGGCTTTCTTTTTCTCTGCAAAGCTTAAATAGGTCTGATAGTTGCCCAGTTTTGATAAAAAAAATTGGAATATTTGGATCATGGTCTATCTATTGAAATTCCAACATCTCAACTTTTTAGTGTCATCTAGGGTGTTTGATGCTTTTGTGGTTCTTTTACCATCTAATACTAAATTCTCTTTCTGTCTTGCATCTATGTCATTGAACAGATATGTCCTGTTTCCAAGGAGTATTCTATTGTCCAGAAGCATTTTCATTGCTGCTCCATAACTTCTGTATTTACCACATAAGTCCTCCTGGTCATGAGGTTTGTGACTTGAACTCTCATTGATTACAGTAGCACGTGGATTGTTTGGTTAATGCTTCTATTCACAATGTTGCTTACCCTGTATATTCGTCAAGAGTTTTTGCAGTTGGGAGCTGCTGTCATGAGTTTTGATGATCCTGTCTTATCGGTTGATGATTTAGCAGACCAGATTGTGGAGGTGCTTGATTACTTCAGGTATTTATCATGAGCCTTCCATTTGGCATCTGCTTTACTGTTATAACCTTATAATATGCTGCCTCTTCAGCATAGGCATTTTGCAACACTGTCAATTCTGCAGTTCTATATCTCATGCTTGTGCTGCACAATCAAGCGGTTGGCAGAACGATTATGGATGATTCTTTACTTCAATATGACATTAAGAGCTGTCGTGTGTTTTGTAGAATCTTCCTTGTAGGCTTAGCTTGTTTTAATGAGAAGTTGAAACTGATTTTACCCCTTTATCTTCCCTCTTCAGGCTTGGTAAAGTAATGTGTATGGGTGTAACAGCTGGAGCATATATTCTTACTTTGTTTGCGGTAAGTGTTTGTATTATTTCTGTTTGCTGATTTATTTAAATTTTCCTGATATGGTCATTTGATGACGAGATTTTTATGTTTTTCTCCCTCTAGATAAAATACACACAAAGGGTTATGGGTTTGATACTTGTTTCCCCCTTGTGCAAAGCACCCTCTTGGACAGAATGGTTGTGTAATAAGGTGCATTTTCAATGCTTTCTCCTATAGTTCAAGATATGCGAGGATGAATTTGTAAATTATGATTCTTGCTCCTCTAGATGACCTGAAATTACGGTGTCTTGCATCTTATTGTGCAATATGGCAGGTGATGACAAATCTGCTTTACTTTTGTGGCATGTGTACTTTGGTGAAGGAGTTACTGCTGTTGCGGTACTTTAGCAAGGTTCCTTTCTACTCTTTTCCACCACTTCTATACTTGTTTTTTTATAATTAGTGGAGAGTTCAACTGGATGCTTAATGATGTGGCAGGAAGTCCGCGGCAGTGTTGAAGTTCCAGAATCGGATGCAGTTCAAGCATGCCGAAGAGTAAGTGTTTAATTTTTTGGAGCCCTGTATTTCCTGTATGATGCTTTCATATGACATTACCCTGTTGACAATGTTTATCATTTGTCTGATTCCACCAAATGTATGATTTTTGTTGCAGTTGCTAGGTGAGAGACAGAGTCCAAATGTATTGCGGTTGCTCGAAGCTATCAATGAGTAAGTCCTTCAGCAAAAAGACATTTCAAGGGGATCTCTGCTGTTTACTTCTCTTCTCCTCATTTCTTCTTGTTTGTTGCGGGGAGCAGTACTTTTCACCTTAAGTAGGTGGGTTGGGTCTTGAGTGGTTCTCCCTCTCTCTCAACACTAATAGGATGCTGCTCACAGCTCAGTATAGCATAAGGTTGCTACTATAGTGGCTGTATAGAATTTTAGAACAACCATGTATCTGCTAACCTATGATAAACAAAGAAGTCATTCTACCAAGTCTAGCTTCGGGTGGAGCATGCTAGTCTAATGTCAGATAGTAAATTTCCTTCTTCTCTAGAGCATTGGAGTTTGACCGAGGGATTTTTCCATCCATGCCATGGACCTACTTCACTGGTCAGTTCCTTCTTTTGATACTCTTTTTCCTTTTTTGGTCGATGACCAAGAAATAGGTCTGTAGCCAGCCCGCAGGACTAATCATAGCCTTTAGAACTAGGGGATAATGGGCTAGCTTCTATCCTTCTCCACTTAAATACCTAACATAGTTCCATGTTTTGATACATATATTGAGTAAACTTGTTTTATTTATCTGACAGGAGACCAGACATAACCCAAGGTTTGCGGAAACTAAAATGTCGTTCTTTAATATTTGTTGGAGAGAGCTCTCCTTTTCATTCCGAGGCTCTCCATATGACATCAAAGTTAGATAGAAGGTTCAGCGCTCTAGTTGAGGTTTGTGCCAAACTTGTTTCACCCTTGTCATGCTAGTGAAGGATTGGATTATAAGGTAATAAGTGGTGTGTGTTATTCAGGTTCAAGCATGTGGTTCAATGGTGACTGAAGAGCAGCCAGATGCAATGTTGATCCCACTGGAATACTTTCTAATGGGATTTGGATTTTATCGACCGTCTCAGTGCAATGTCAGCCCAAGAAGCCCGTTAAGTCCAACCAGCATCTCTCCGGAGCTTTTCTCGCCAGAAAGTATGGGTTTGAAGTTAAAACCAATTAAAACCAGATTTTCTGAAGAAGTATGAGTCTGGGCTCAAAGTTAAAATAAGTTTTTGTAAAATTTGTAAGCATACATTGAAGATCCACTTCGATTGAAGACAGTTAGGAATGTGAAGTTATAGGAGGGAGGGTTGTAGATAAGAGAGTTGGAAAATAGAAAGTGGAAGAAAAAATAATAGGAAAAAAGAGTTTTTTTTATAAAAATCTTCTTTGTAATGGTAACTGTGAGAAGTTTTGAATCCATCTGTACATGCTGGACAATAAATAATAGTAATTTATATTGATAAAAGGAATAAGAATAATAAAAAGGCTGGTGCCAGCCTTTTCCTTTTCTTTCTCCGTATATTTTTTGTAATATATAATTAGATTTGCTCTTTGTTTGTTTCTTCTTTTTGGTGTTCTCTTTGTCAACATTATGATGACTGCCGTCCCTATTTCTGAAAAGAAAATTCCCATAATAATTTAACGCTTTTTTATTTAGGATTTAAAACTGACCAAATATTAAAGCAACATCTTTGATAAAGGCCAAATTTGATAACTAATAGTAGTAAAACTTTTAACGATTTAAGGGACTTCTTTTGTAAGATATACATCTCGACAGTTGACTCTATATTTAAAGGAGAATCGATTTTAATGGTCACACAGGGATCACTTCAAAAGCAAATGATGATCATGTACATGACAGTTTCAGCTTTTATTTTAGTGATAGAAATGAAGGAGGAGTTTATCTTTTAGACTTTGGGAAAGTTTTCAAGTTGATCATAACTAACTCAAGCTTTTAGAAGAGGGAGGAGAACTTGTGACCTTCCGTAGTCTATTTTCTTTTTAAGAAGGGTGTTAGAGGTGTATATAAGTATTGCAAGATTATTTTGTCAAGATTCTTCCTTCATAATATTTGTCATGACCCAAAGAATACCGTAGGCGTAGCATGACGTATAGAATCCCAAATGGCCCTAGATAAGCCACTAAGCATACATCATACAAGATAATAGAAATAACAATTTCAAAAGGTACATTCTCATATCAAAAGAATTTGACAAAGCGGAAGTCTAACATAGTTTCAACAAGCCATCTAATACATCAAAAGAAGTGGTTGGGACGTAACCCATACACCACATACAAATGTCTAAAAACTGAAAGTAATAAAAGTAAGAAAAGTGTCACAGTACTTGAAACATGAGGACTCACCAACTCTTGATCTTCGAATTGTCAATAGGATTAACTAGCCACACATGTGCGAGGTAGGAGCATCCGAACCTACATTAGTGAAACAATGTAGGCACTAGTATGCATTAGTACATGAAATGTACTAAGTATGATAGCAATGCATAAAAGGTATGAAATCATGCTAAAATGATTTTCCATGACATGCAATGACCAAGCTAAATCATAAGATAAAAAGGTTAGAAAACACAAATCATAATCATGGTCAATGCAAGCTTAACATATTTAAAACACTTTGTGAGATACTCGGAAGTAACCTAGTTCGTTATTGTGGGATGTTTACCATTAACCGACATAGACCATGTGAGCTAGAACATGGAATCTGGTGTCTATCCCACATCGAAAAGAGATGTCATTGCTTGCCAAAGCAACAACCTTAAACTTCTAGCTTACGTAGATCCACTAGCTAAGACATCATACAGAGGCACATAGTTAGGACAAGCTAAGGCCTCTACTAACGGGAGAGCCTCCATATTAATATCTTCTCGGTGCCAAGTAAAATCCCATGGAATAGTCTCAATCATATTCATTTCATCATCCACGGAAAGACACAATTAAGCTACCAATCCAAGCTAAAGTTATTTAGAATAGCTCCTTAAATTTTGATTCAACTTAGGTGAGAAAATCTTTCAACCTTATGAATCCTTATGAGAGAAATCCTTTCACAATCATGATCATATTAATATGTGAGAAAACCTTTCACAATTTTCATTGATACTTTCACTTAAAAGCATCCTTAATTCATAACCATCAATCTCATAATAACATACATATCTTCATAAATTCATAGTTCATAAGCTTCACCATGTGTTCCTAGTAAAAAATCATGGATCATGAATGTGTTCATATGAATTCAACTCAAAATCATGTAAATACTTCAATTCATGCATTAGAAGATAGAAAATAGGCAATTGAATCATAATTGAAAAGAACCCATGAAGATTGGAGAAAACCCTAACTTTGATCAATTGAATTTAACTTGGAGAATTGGGATTTTTGGGAACCCAATGGAGGAAAGGACTCCATTGGTGAAAACTAACATACCTTGATGATCAAAGCCCAAAGGCTATGGTGAATTGGAGACCTTGAAGTGAAACCCTAAGTTCTTCTTCCTTTGCTATTTGGGGAGGAACTTGGAGGGAATTTGAGATTTAGGAGAATGATTCAGAATTGGGTAGTTTTAGCACTTAAAATACTTATATATGGCTTAGAATAGGGGTCAAAATGACATAGCTTAGATATTAAACACATAGAGAAAAAACCTAAAAAAATCCTTAAAAATAACTGACGACTCAGTCCACGGGTGCGACCTCTGTACTGGCCAACCATAGGCCAAGTACTGAATCTCTAAATTTTAATCAGATTTGATGAGACCGGTCTACGGCCCGTAGACACCAACCATAGAAGTCAACTTTGACCCTAAAATTTTACTAAGTCTGGGACCTGTCTACGAGACCTATCTATGATCCGTAGCTCTTTCGGCGGACCGTCCCGATTAATCATAGACTCAACTTCAGAAACTCAATTTTCTCAAAACTCAAACCCACTTTCTATGGATGCCATCTACGGTCCATAGAATCTTCTATGGCCTGTAGACTAGATTCATAGAAACCAACCAGTGGCTAAAAAATGATATTTTTTTTCAAAATTCAAGGTGTTACAATATTATCCCTTGTATAGACTCGATAAGGTGAGAGAGAAGGATCCTTAACCTGGATAAAGTGAAGTGCATTAAGAAAAATAATGTTCAAGTATTAATAAATAATACACACATCACACACAGATGACAAATGTATTTTCATAAGCTCTTGAATGAAAAATGAGATAGGAAGTTCGTGCCAGGAGAGTTGGTTATTCCGAGAGTCATAGAGATTTTGGATATCGTGGGTGCATAAAGGTTGTAGAGGTTCATGAGGCTATTAGTGAGATGAGGAGGAGAAGCTCGATCGAGATAGATGAAATTTCAACATATTTTTGAATGAACAAAACCAAGACAAATATGAAATGGTAGATTGGGTTATTTAATGCCATATTTATGATGGTAAAATGCAAGAGCAAGAGTGATATGCAAAACTACAATAACTGATCTTAGGCATATTTATATGCCTATGTTGTTAATATTGGCCCATGAATTGATTAGATTGAATAATGATCTTTAGTTACTAACTTGATTTTTGGTGTAACTTGTGATGTTTGTGCACCTACACACATGATTAGTTGTTTTAAGAGCACGCGAAGGAATTAGAGTTGGAACGGAGAAAGAAGGAGCAAAAATGTGCAAGAAAATGGCCAAGGCAAAAACCACCAGTGGCTGGTGCACTGGTTGGCGCGGCGCGCCACTGGTGGTACTTCAGAGTTGATGTTGTGGCGCGTTGAGAGGCGCGATGCGCCAAGGGCCACACTTCAGATTCCCTTCTCAGGCGCGCCGCGCCAAGGAGGAGACTTCAGAGGCAACCTATAGGCGTGAAGCCCCACGAAAGTTCCGACTTTTACAAGTTAAAAGACTTAAATAGGATTCATAAGTGTAGTAGGTTTTGACTCTAAGTTATCCTACTATTATAAATAGATCCTTAGCGTTCCATAATCTGGGTGGACGTTTTGATTTAGTGTGCAAGAGTAAGAATTCAAGTTTGTAATAGGTTTTAATCCTTTTACTCTTCTATTTTCCGGAAATTGCATGAACTGTTGTATTTTCTTGTTTTGTAATAGCATGAGTGGCTAAACACCCTAATTCTAGGGCTGTAGCTACAAATGAATTGTTGATTATTAAAGGCTTGTTGAATGAAATCTTGGTTGTCCTTATAAGTTACTTCTATATTCTTGTTTTAGTATTTTATGCTTGCGCACCATAAGATAAATCTATTATCTAATCTTAAAATCGAGAGAGGAGGGATTGGATAGACCAGAGAATATAGAGAGCTCGGTCCACCCATTAGATTAAGGTGATTAGTGTTCAGGAGTGACGCCCAGACGAACACCTTGCTTGGTTACGAAATAGGATGAAATATAAATGCTCGCCAGCTAGTCTATTTATCCCCGCTCAACGATGTAGTTAGATAGATAACTAGGGTAGGCGACAAGAGGCGTATAACCTGGATCATATCATTAACCCTATAAACCAGTAGCTTGATAACTGAAATTAATTCTAAGCCAATAATATGATACATGATATTCAGTATATGCTGCAGCCCTGGAATCTCTTTTAACTTGCTTGAAACATCATATTAAAGTCATTCATAATTAGTTACTTTCATTTAGTGCATAATTATTAGTAGATAAACAATAAATTATCAACTCTTGAAAAGGTTACTTTCACTGTTATTTGTAGAATTAAGTGTTAAATATAAATTGATCATAAGTTCCTTGGGAACGATAACTCGTTTCTTAAAGAATCTATATTACTTGCACGACCACGTACAGTTGCGTGTATATTAGGGAGCAACAAGTTTTTGGCGCCACTGCCAGGGACTTAGAAATTGATTTATATTCGATCTTTTTAAGTCTACAATTAGAATATTAGGGTATTAATTACTTGATCTTAGCTTGTTATTGCAGGCACTTGATTTTCAGGTCTGGCTCGAAAGGGAGAACTTGTTGAACCATACAACGAACCCGAAAGAGTTTTACCTCAGCGCAGAAAAATGAATTAGGGACGACAAGGAGAATTGGGGTTAGGTCTTTTGAGAAACTTTGATGATGATAATCAAGAAAATGTGAATAACTCGGAAAACGTGAATAACCCATAAAACGTGAATAACCCAAGGAACCCGAATAACCAAGAAGTACCGCTTGTCGTACCCGCAAGACCAGTCCGTGATGTAGCAGTCCCACTCACAGCCAACTTGGCATCTACTATTAGGAAACCTCTACTGGGGGGTAGATTTGAACTAAAGCAGAACATGGTACAAAACCTCCATTCTAATGGGTAATTCATTGGTCTCCCCCATGAGGATCCTCAAATCCATCTTAGGACTTTCATAGAAATTACCAATACATACATCCCAATTGGAGTCTCATCAGACTATGTAAGGTTAACTTTGTTCCCATACTTATTGTTAGGAGTTGCAAGACATTGGTTAGACTCTGAGCCACCAAACTCCATCATTACTTGGGATGATCTAGCAAAGAAGTTCCTGAGTCGAGTTTTTCCATCCAAGAAAATCGCAAAGCTGAGGAGTGAGATAATAAACTTTGTTCAAAAGCAAGGGGAGGACATGTACCAAGCATGAGAGCGTTTCAAACAAATGTTGAATGCTTGCCCACACCACATGCAAACCAATGAGGTACTTGCTCACACTTTCTTTGAGGGTTTAAACTATAATTCTCGTTCTCTTCTTAATAGTGCAGTAGGTGGACAGGCCCTATCCATAACAAGTGAAAAGTTCTTTACCTTACTCGATAAACTTTTAGAAGGGAACCAAAGCTTTGAGGGGGAAATGTCTAGAACCCCAACCCAATAGGCTGCATGGATCTTAGATGTAGACCAAACTACTGCCATAAATGCCAAATTAGATGCAATGCAACATAACATGACCTTACATTTTAAACAAATGGCTCTAAATCGGGCACCGGTAAATGTGGTACAACAAGCAGCAAATTGGTGTGAGGTATGTGGTAGTGGAACTCATGAAACTGAGCAATGTGAGGCAAACTCAAATTTCGTAAACTATGTGGGTAATGCGCAAAGGGTGGAGTGCAACAAAATTATGATAATACTTACAACCCTAGTTGGAAGAACCATCCTAACTTCTCATGGGGTGGTAACCAAAACCAAAACCAGGCGCAAGGGGTTAACTAATACCGTTCTCAAGGGACTGGGCAACAATACTACAATCCTAACCAAGGCTCAAATCCTAGTGCATAAAAAGGGGGATGACCAATGAAGAGCTACTCCAAAAGCTCATGACTGAAATATGGACCAAATTAAATGCTGGAATGGATAAGTAGGATGAGAACATTAGAAACATCCAGATGTTCCCAACTGAGTTTAGAGAAACAAGTTGCGCAAGTGGCTAACTCTTTGAACTTGCGTCCTCAAGGTGGGCTGCCGGTGATACTAAGCCCAACCCAAAGCAATTGCATGCGGTAAGTACTAGAAGTGGGTTGCAATTAGAGGAACTAGCTCCAAAGAAGAGAGACACTGAGGTAAGTAACAAAGAAAAAAAGGTGGAAGAGGTAGTAAAAAGTTCCAATGTTGAGGTACCCGTTCCTCAAAAGAAAGTACCACCTCCATTTCCACGAAGGCTAAAAAAGTAAAATGAAGATGAATGCTTCGGTAAGTTTCTCTCTTTCCTTAAACATGTTCACATTAATCTACCTTTGGTTGACATTTTGCAGGGTATCCCGAAGTAAGCTAAATACGTGAAGGACATTGTGGCTAGCAATAGGAGGCTCACAAAATATGAAACTGTAGCACTTACTGAGGAGTACAGCTCAAGGATCCAAAACAGACTGCCCAAAAAGTTAAAAGATTCGGGTAGTTTTACTGTGCAGATTACAATTGGGCAAAGTGTTCATGCCCGGGGGTTGTGTGATTTGGGGGAAAATATAAATTTGATGCCCTTATCTTTGTATCAAAAGCTTGGGTTGGGTAGTCCAAAACGAACCACTGTTATTCTCCAACTTGCAGATAGATCCATTGCTAGGCCAGAGGAGGTGGTAAAAGATGTGTTAGTGCAAGTAAGTTCGTTGATTTTTTCGGTAGATTTGTGGTCTTAGACTTTGAACTCGATTCTGAAGTTCCATTCATTTTGGGAAGACCTTTCTTGGCCACGAGTAGGGCATTGATTGATGTAACAGCTGGTCAACTAACCATGAGGGCACATAATAAGGTTGAGGTATTTTATGTTTACCGCGCTTTAAAATTACCTTCTATTTATGAAGAGTTGTCTGCTATTACTGTGGTTGATCGCATAGTAGAATCACAAGTAGTTGTGCTCGAAGATCCTTTAGAAAGAGTGTTAGTGGGTCATGAGATAGAGGGAGACACTGAAGCTCAAGAGATTGAATTATGCTTAAATCTAGCACTAGTATACACTTGTAGGAATCAAGTGGAGTCACTAGATCGCTACTTGGCCCCCCCAACCAAAGCCATCAATAGAAGAAGCCCCTACGTTGGAACTAAAAACTCTGCCGGCTCAGATAAGGTATGCTTATTTGGGTACTAATGAAACTTTGCCTGTTATACTTTCTGCAGAATTGTCTGACTTACAGGTTGATGCGACATTGAGGATCTTAAAGCGGAGAAGGAAAGCAATTAGATGGCAGATGACTGATATTCATGGGATTAGTCCGGCGTTATGCATGCATAGAATTTACATGGAAGATGATCACAAACCCAAAGCACAACATCAACGTCGACTGAATCTTGTGATGAAAGAAGTGGTAAGAAAAGAAGTCATAAAGTGGCTAGATGCTGGAATTGTGTACCCAATCTCTGATAGTAAGTAGGTAAGTTCGGTACAATATGTTCCCAAGAAGGTAGGTATAACAGTGGTAAGGAACGAAAAAAATGAGTTGATTCCTACTAGAACAATGACCGGGTGGAGAATTTGCATGGATTACTGGAAACTAAATGATGCTACCCGAAAAGATCACTACCCCGTTCCCTTCATTGATCAAATGCTTGACCGACTAGAAGGGCAGGAGTACTATTGTTTCTTATATGGATATTCCGGTTACAACCAGATCTTGATTGCACCCGAGGATCAGGAAAAAACCACGTTCACTTGTCCTTATGGCACATGTGCTTTCAAGCGCATGCCATTTGGACTTTGCAATGCACCGACGACTTTTCAAAGGTGTATGATGGCCATTTTTCATTATATGGTGGAAGACTTTGTTGAGGTGTTCATGGATGATTTTTCCGTCTTTGGGAAGTCTTTTGAGGTATGTCTCCCAAATGTTGATAAAGTACTTGCTAGATATGAAGACACTAACTTAGTTCTAAATTGGGAAAAATGTCATTTTTTGGTAAGAGAGGGAATAGTGTTGGGACACAATGTGTCTAAATCTGGTTTGGAGGTTAATAAGGTTAAGGTAGAAGTTATTGAGAAATTACCCCCTCTTATTTTTGTAAAAGGTGTGCTTAGTTTTCTTGGTCATGCAGATTTTTACAGACGATTCATCAAGGATTTTTCCAAGATTGCCAGACCTATATGTAGTCTTTTGGAGAAGGAGGTGAAGTTTGACTTTGATGAGATGTGTTTGAAAGCTTTTGAGATGTTGAAGAGGAACTTAATTTAGGCTCCCATCTTAATTGCTCCTGATTGGGGATTACCATTTGAACTCATGTGTGATGCAATCGACGTAGAAGTGGGTGCAGTTTTGGGCCAAAGAAAGAATAAAATGTTTCACTCGATCTATTATGCAAGCAAGACCATTGACTCTACATAAGCTAATTACACAGTGAGAATGAGGTGCTGGCTCTAGTGTTCACCTTTGCCAAGTTCAGATCGTATTTGGTAGGTACTAAAGTGATTGTTTTTACTGACCATCCAGTTATTAGGTACCTATTCAACAAGAATGATGCTAAACCAAGGCTGATTCGATGGATATTGCTTCTCCAAGAATTTGACTTTGAGATCAAATATATGAAAGGTACTGAGAATCAAATAACAGATCACTTATCTAGGTTGGAGGATTTTTCACATGTGAATGAAGGTGAGCAAATCTGGGAAGAGTTTCCGGATGAACAATTGATGGCATTAGATATACCTCAAGTGACATGGTATGCATACATTGTGAATTTGATAGTAAGTGGCGATTATCCTCCGGGTGCAACCACCCAACAAAAGAAAAAACTCAATCATGATGTCAAGTTCTATATCTGGGATGAACCATTCTTATTCAAGCAATGTGTAGACCAGGTAATGAGAAGGTGCATTCCGGAATCTGAGGTTCACAAAGTGCTCGAAAGTTGTCATGCTAGCCCATATGGAGGTCACCATGGAGGAGAGCGCACTGCTCAAAAGGTACTACAATCTGGTTTCTTTTGGCCCTCGTTATTTAAAGATCCTATTGCTTTTGTGAAGGGTTGTGATAAATGCCAAAGATTGGGCACTATTTCAAGAGGACATGAGATACCTCTAAGTAACATTTTGGAGGTGGAAATCTTTGATGTGTGGGTATTGACTTCATGGGTCCATTCCCGCCATCGAGTGGGAACCAATACATTCTTGTGGCTGTTGATTGTATGAGTAAATGAATTGAGGCTGTCGCTCTTCCTTCGAATGATTCAAGAATGGTGATAAAGCTCATAAAGAAGCACATATTCACCCGCTTTGGCACTCCAAGGGCAATCATAAGTGATGGAGGTAAACATTTCATTAACCATCTTGTTAAAAACCTTCTTGCTAAATATGGTATTCGTCATAAGGTTGCTACAACTTACCATCCTCAAACGAGTGGCCAAGTGGAGGTTTCAAATAGAGAGGTGAATCAAATTTTGAAGAAAACGATGAATGCATAGAGGAAAAATTGGTCTGAGAAATTAGATGATGCGTTGTGGGCATATAAGACTGCGTAAAAGACACCAATAGGGACTTCTTCTTATCACATAGTATTTGGTAAAACATGTCACCTTCCGGCGGAATTAAAATATTAAGCATATTGGGCAATTAAGAAGCTGAACTTAGACCCCGAGCTAGCCGGTAAAAAGAGAGTGAATCAGCTGCATGAACTTGAGGAGTTTAGGCTCCACAATTATGAGAATGCCAAGCTATAAAAAGAAAAGACAAAGAGGTGGCATGACAAGCACATAGTAGCTCGTACCTTCAATCCGGGAGATAAGGTACTACTCTTTAAATCTAGACTAAGGTTATTCCCCAGAAAACTAAGGTCGAAGTGGAGTGGTCCTTTCGGAGTGGTTAGAATGACACAACATGGGGTTGTTGAACTTAAAGATAAGACTGGCCTTGCGTTCTTGGTCAATGGGCAAAGGGTGAAACACTACTTTGGTGAGGATTCGGATCGTGATCGGGAGGCTCTTGAGCTAAATGATGAATGATCCCAGCTGTGTCGTGCCGTGACGTAAAATCAAACGCTACATGGGAAGCAACCCATGAACAATATGTAATAGATAAGTACTTCGTGTTTGAAAGTTTTATTTTTATCGTTTTAGCATAGTTTAAATTTGTAGAATCTAGGAAGTTCTTTTAGTCTCTGTTTTAGCTAAATATGATTTTTCATTGTTTGTAACTTAGTTTGAATAGTAAGAAAAAAAAAATTGGAGCCAGGCGCACTGGTTGGCGCGCCGCACCTGGCATCAAACGTCAGAGCGCCACCTCAGGCGCGCTGAGGGGCGCGCCGCACCAGACCTCGCGCGTCAGAGAGCCATCACAGGCGCGCTGAGCGGTGCGTCGCCCCTCCATCGTTCATATGCCCAGATTTTTTTTTCGGGTTTCGACCCGGATTTTATCTGGCCC